GTCAGTCCTGGGGCTTGAACTCTGGGCCTGGGCACTGTCCCTCAGTTCTTCAGCTCAAATTGAGCCACAGCACCACTTCTGTTTTTCTGGTGGTTAACTGGAGATAAGAGTCTCATGGAAGCCAGGTGACAGTGGCTCACACCTGTAATCTTAGCTACTCAGGAGGCTGAGATCTGAGGATCGCGATCAGCCCGGGCAGGAGAGACTGTAAGACTCCTATCTCCAGTAAACCACTAGAAAACTGGACGTGGTGCTGTAGCTCAAGTGGTAGAATGCTTGCCTTGAGCTGAAGAACTAAGGGACAGTGCCCAGGCCCAGAGTTCAAGCTCCATGACCGACAAAAAAAAAGTTTCATGTACTTTCCTTCTCAGGCTGACTTTGAACCATGATCCTCAGATCTCAGCCTCCTGGGTAGCTGGGATGACAGATTGAAATACAATTTTGACATGCTTTCATCTTACGTAATTTTACCTCTAAAAATATGTACTCTGTTAAAACGGCTTGCTAGATTCCATCGCTGAGTATTTTGGTCTCATTTTCAAAAAGGGCTCCTGGGTGCTAGTTCTCTGACCTTTTCCATGTTCTCTATACATTGAAACAACTTCACTGAGCATTGGATTCTTTTTTTTTTTTTTTTTTTGGGTCTGGTTGTGTGGCCTGAACTCTGGTCCTGGGCGCTGTCCCTTAGCTCTTCAGCTCAAGGTTAGCATTCTACCACTTGAGCCACAGCGCCACTTCCGGTTTTTTTCTTCTTGCTTATGTGGTGCTGAGGAATTGAACCCAGGGCCTCAGGCATACAAGGCAAGAGCACTTCCCAGCCCCATGGGTGTTGTATTCTTGGCTGCTTCTTTTCCACACAGCTTTTTTTTTTTGGGGGGTCCGGTTGTGTGGCCTGAACTCTGGGCCTGGGCGCTGTCCCTCAGCTCTTCAGCTCAAGGCTAGCGCTCTACCACTTGAGCTACAATCCCACTTCGGGCTTTTTTCTTTTTGCTTATGTGGTGCTGAGGAATTGAACCCAGGGCCTCAGGCATGCAAGGCAAGCGCTCTACCACTGAGCCACCTTCCCAGCCCCTCCACATAGCTTTGAAGACTCTGCTCCCTTGATTTCTGGCATTGAACACTGCTGTGGAAAGACATGGGGCCAGGACAGTGGTTTTCCCCCTACCTTCTGGGTGCCTGAAGCATTTTCTTCTTTTTTTGTTTTTTTTTCGGGTCCGGTTGTGGGGCCTGAACTCTGGGCCTGGGTGCTGTCCCTCAGCTCTTCAGCTCAAGGCTAGTGCTCTACCACTTTGAGCCACAGCGTCACTTCCAGCTTTTTCTGCTTATGTGGTGCTGAGGAATCGAACCCAGGGCCTCATGCATGCAAGGCAAGCGCTCTACCACTGAGCCACCTTCCCAGCCCAGCATTTTCTTCTTTATCCTTACAATTTTCAGAGACTGAGCTAGGCAGGGTTGCTCATTTCTGTAATACTCTGGAGGTAGAGAGCAGGAAGATCAGGATTTGAGGCCAGTTAGTTTGAGGCCAGTTAGGGCAAAAAGTTAGGGACCTCAGCTTACCCAACAAAGCAGGGGAGGCGGTACATGCCTGGGGTTACAGCCACTTGAGAAGCGTGGGTGGGAACGTTACTATCCAGATGAAAACATGAAACTACGTGAAAACTAAAGTAATGCCGAAAGGGCTGGGGGCCGGGCGCCAGCGGCTCCTGCTTGTCATCCTAGCTACTCAGGAGACTGAGAGCTGAGATCAAGGTTCAAAGCCAGCCTGGGGAGGAAAGTCCATGAGACTCTTACCTCCAATGAACCACCAGAAAACTGGAAGTGGTACTGTGGCTCATGTGGTAGAGCGCTTGCCTTGAGCTGCAGAGCTGAGGGACAGCACCCAGGCCCAGAGTTCAATCCCTATGACTGGGGGGGGAAAAAAGGGGGGCTGGGTATGTGACTCATGTGGGTAGGGGGTAAATAAGGAAAAAAAAGAAAAGCTCAGTAATTCAGCCAGACATTTATCATTCTGAATCTCTGAGTGATTCTTCCTTTGTCTTTCAGTTATAGCTGGGCACTGATGGATCACACCTGTCATCCTAGCTACTCCGGAGGCTGACATCTGAGGATCACGGTTCAAAGCCAGCCCGGATAGGAAAGTCCATGAAACTCTTATCTCCAATGAACCAGCAGAAACAAAAGTGGCACTGTAGCTCAAGTGGTAGAGTGCTCGCCTTGAGCTGAAGAGTTGAGGGACAGAGTCCAGGCCCAGAGCCAGAGTTCAAGCCCCACGACTGACAAAAACAAAAACAAAAAAAGTGGGTTGGGTAGAGCCCCGAGCCACCCTGAAGCACTTAGTTTCCCAGGCTGCTTCTACCCCATCATTCACAGGTGCTGCCAGGCTGAGCTAGGGAAGGCTCCCCACCTGAGATGCCCAAGGTTTGTCCCAATGCCACAGGCTCAGGGGGTCTGCAGGCCTGGGTCCAGGACCCCGATGTCCACCAGGATGCACCCCTGCCTTGGTGAAATTAGAGGAGCAGCTTACCCGAGGTCACACAGAAGTTCAGCAACAGCCAGGGCTGACCTCCAGATCCGGGCCCTGGACCCAGGATGGCTGCCTCTGGGGACGGGAAGGTGTGTGTCCATTCCCATTTCTGGGCCTCTCAGAAAATGGCTGTGGTCGCCCATGAATCTGTCCAGGCCCACAGCCAGCCCTGTATTCCAAGGTCCTTGAGCTACTGAGGAGGTCCTGCCCCAAGGGGCCCAAGTGCCTGTCCCCCCTGCATGTGGTGCCCCTGGCGGGGCTGAGGCAGGGTGCACGCGCTCACCTGTCTGGCGATTCGCCTGCGGCCCCTCGGCAGCGCCGTGCTCTGGGATGATGGTGGGTTTACTGCCTGTCCGGTTATGGGGGCTCAGGGGCTCTGGAAGAGCTGAGTGCTGGGGTCCAGCAGGACTCTGGCCTCCATGCTTCTCTGTCCTAATGGAGGCGAGCAGGCCTGGTTAGGGTTGCTGGTCTGACCCCCACCACACCCCATGCGTCGCACCCGTGTGTGCTCCCCACGAGGGAATCATCCAGAGGAGCTGACACCCGCCTGGGCTCCCCAGCCCAGGTCGGAGCGAGAGAGGCCACATGTCCTGCAGGCCAGAGCCCAGGGCCAGGTCAGGCTGACCGTGGGACAGACGACCGAGGCAGGACACACACATTCCGAGCGGCGGTCAGCCATGAGCTGTCTCGACACCATCCCAAGCCACCCATGCCCTGTGGGGTCAGGATGTTCGCGTGCGTGGCGGTGGGAGGATGGAGCGTCACATCTCGTGCCTGGGCAGCTCCCGGCCCCGCCGCCCACCGTGGCTTCCTGTCCCGTCCGCCCGACAGCCTTGGGTGCAGAGCCACAGGGGACCACACCCACTGGAGACTCTCAGGGGACAAGTGTGTGCTCTGGGAGCTGGGGTGTGCCACCGGCACTCGTCCTCGGACTGATGGGCACAGCAGGGGCTGTGGCAGCCGTAGGGACGGAGGCCGCAAAGCCTAGGGCAGGAGGGAGCTTGCGTTCCAGCCCCACAGGAGCACCCATGCCCAGCCCCCGCCCCAGCTGGCTGCTGAGCTGGGCCAAGCGGGGCTGGGTCCCTCCCTGGAACCTGGGGAGAGCAGGGTGGGCCCAGGGCCGCAGCAGCTCTGGGTTGCAGCGGGAGGAAGGGGAGCAGCAGAAAAGAGGCCAGGGCCCTGGGCCACAGCCCCCACTTCCTCTTCTGGAGACTGCTGCCTCCCGGCTGGTCCCTGGACCCGCATTGCAGGCAGGGCAGGGCAGGGCAGAGCAGGCGGGCCCCCAGGCTTTGGAAAAATGGGGCCAAGGCGGCTGATTGTTCAGGGAAAGAGGCAGCACGGGACGGGATGCCACAGCATCTCCGGTACTAATGGCATCCCCCGGAGAACACAGAGCTGCTCCCTGTGAGACAGGACGAGGCCCAAACGAGGACTCAGCAGGACCTAGGCGCCACAGCCTACTTCTCACCACTTCCTGGCTGTGTGGGCTCAGAGCAGTTACATAACCTTCCTGAATTCTGCTTTCAGCATAAAGATATAGTGGCCCCCTGGGGAAGACGGGGGGGGGGGGGGGGGGGGGGGGGAAGGGAGGGAGAGAATGGTGGGGGGGGGGGGAGGGGATGGCAGGGAAGGGCCTCGTCCTGTGGGTTCTGCTGTACCCTGGCAGTCTGAGCTCTTCCTCTGTGGGCCAGGACTGGAGAGGACTTGGGGGTAGACAGCTGTGCCCTCCAGTGGGGTCAGGGATTCCCTGCAGGTCCCCGAGGCTAGAGGTCGCCTGCCTTGTTCTGGGTGGCAGTGACCTCTGTCCAGCCCGAGGCTGGCTGTCACCACCAGCATCCACACCTGCTTCTGTCCCCTGTGGGCCCGCTCTCGAGGTAGGAGGGGCCGAATAAGGCATAGGCTGCTTTGCGTCCCGCGCTTGTCCGGCGACCAGCAGGTCAAAGATCTGCGGGCCCCGGGCTCTCTCGTATGGAGGCCCTGAACTCGAGTGTGTGGCTGCGGGCGCCACCAGTGCTCGTGAGAAGCTAAGCTTCATCTCCAGCCCCGGGCGGGGATGTGTCACCGCTGCCTCACAGAACCAGACGCCCCTGCTTCACCGGTCCCCCAGCACCCTGGATCCCTGGTGCTCCGTTTCTCCTCTCCACCTTGACTGAGGGCTTGCCGAGAGAGGGCGATTCTCCTGTACCGCCCGCGGGCGGTGAGGCAGCGGCCCTGCTCAGCAGCCAGCACTCACCCAGCCAGGCCGCTCCAACACGCCAGAGCCCCAGGGGGCAATGGCGGCAGGAAGTGGACAGCTCATCCAGGGGGGGCGGGGTCAGCCTCAGTCCAGGGCCCTCAGGTCTCCCCTCCTCAGCAAGGCCAAGGGCTGGACAAAGGGAAAACCAAGAGGCATATTAATACTCAATGTCCTCCTGCCAACAGAATGTTTTACTATTTCTATCTAGTGCTTACTTAAAAAAACAGAAAGACAGCCTCCTTCCAAGTCCCCCACTGGCTTTGATTTTGGGCTCAAGTGACCTCCTGGTCCCAGGATCTTGAGGACCAGGGCCTACAGATGTACCACACGGCTCAGCTCCAATGCTGACAGTCTCACAGGCAAAAGAATGGCCTCTCGTGGGTTTAATTACACTTTTAATTGGTGAGCTTAAGCATTTTCGCCTATTTATGGGCCATTCACACTTGAGAGCAGCGTGTTCAGGTCCTCTGTTCATCGTCTTCCGCGCAGACCTTTTCGTGATTTATAGATGCTCTTTGTACATTATGGACACAGGTCCTTCGTAATGTCTCCTTCACTTGGCTTCTAGTGTGGCTGGCGCTGTCTCGCACAGGGAGCACCACCGTGTCTGTGTCCTTTGCTGTGGGCCTCGTGTCAGGCCCGGAGGCTCTCGGGAGGGACAGGGTGGTGCTTGCTTCGGACGCTCTCAGAAGCAGCCGCCACCACACTTGCCGCTGCGGCAAAACGTGCTATTGAGAAGAAAGCCTTTATTTTAAAAAACAAGAGCTGTCACCCAAGCACTTCCTTACATATTAATTGATAGGAATAAAAGCTGTGCGTGCTGCCGAGGGGACAACCTGCTTTCTGGGCACAGATGGCCATGCGGACAGGAGGTGGGGTGCGGGCTGTTAGGAGAGCGCATAGGAGGGCTTGAGGAATGGTCTATTTATAGGCTTGGGTGGCGCCATGATGCCCAGTTTTCTACTGGCTCCCGATGCTGCTCGAGAGCCGCACGTGGCCGGACCTGACCCCGCTGTGCTGGAGGGTTTACTTTTGGAAGACGTCCTTCTGGAGGCGGTGGACACCCTAAAACATCAGAGAAAAGAAAATGAGGACGGTAAATAACAACAGGGAGCCCTTCTTTCTTCCAACCTGCCCAAAGCTACCACCATGGTTTTCCTCCATCATGTGTGTGTGTGTGTGTGTGTGTGTGTGTGTGTGTGTATGTTCGTGTGTTCGTTTTGCCGGGAAACCCCAGGGGAGGCAGGACCTCTGCTCCGGGGTCAGGGACTGCCACCGCCACCCACCACACAACTTGGTTCTGATTTGTCCTTCTGGAAAGCCAAGGATTGTTTCCCATGGAACCTCGCTCCACCGGCCGCCCCTTCTGGGGTAACAGCTGAGGTCCACATACTCTATTCTGAACCAAATAAAATAACACGTTTTCCTGGGACCTCAAACCCCTGGCCAGAGGATGCCCTGGAACGAACATACTTGCACAGGCAGCTGGGTGGGTGAGGAGAGACCGAGACCGGGCAGGGCAGATGCGGCTCCCGGGAGGCCGCGTTGCCTCATCCACTGGTCTGGCATGTGTCCCGACCGTGCTGCCAGCAGCAGCAAACTTGCCAGCTCTCCCCTCCCACTCCCTGCAGCCTCAACTGAGGAGAGGCCCCAGCCGGGCCTATGACAGCCCGCCCCGCACACCTCTCCTGCTGACCGAAGACAGCAGCCCCCCACCAATAAAACACAATGACCAGCATGACCACAGCAAGGCCGCCCTCCCTCCGCTCCGCACTCAGCCCACTGCCGACCAGAAGGCAGCACACAGGCCAAGAGCGGCCGGGGAGCCAGCGCCACAGCCTTCTCAGGGGAATGCAGAAGCGTGGTTTTTCAAACTTGAAAACCGCTTGCTGGAGGGCAATTCCACTGCAGATCTGCGGAGATCTGCCAAAGCAGCAGAGAAGCGGCCCTAAATTCCCCGCGCTGACTTCCTGCTGAGAAATGAAGCCTGGAGTGAAAACCTGCTGTTTATGTTGATTTACAGAGTCCTGGACTCCACTTCCTCCCACTCAGAGCCCTGAACACAACTGGCGCATTGTGCATTATCCTGAGAGGCAAGAAAGGGCGAGGTGGAGCGCCGAGGCCTGGCGTGGAGCCACGCGTGTTCCTTCACCGACGGGACTCACCAGGTGAGCAGGCGGGGGCCGGGGGCCTCTCAGTGCAGGGGAAAGCGGGAGGATGCAGCCATTACAAAGAGGCTGATGCAAGGCTGAAAGTTACGAAGTCAACCGGTTTCAGCCAGTGGGGACTAGGAAAGCATCCTATCTTGAACGGAGGCTAATTACAACCTACACGCCAACTGCCACTGGCTTTTGGACAGTATGAGTTTTACTACTTCTTATTAAATTAGGCTGTAGGTGTTACAGCAAAGTGCTTCATTCTTACAAACAAATGCTGTGAAAATTAAATAAGCGAGCCAACGGCGATAAACGCTTTCTTCTAACAAGTAAAACTGACGTGAGAAACCAAGCACAGATGTGCAGAAGCAGAGACTTGGTCTGCGACAGAAGCCAGGCCAGAGCTTCCTGCCCCAAGCCCCAGCATTGCACCAGAAGCCGCCTGAGGTCTCAGCTCTGGGTGAGCAGTGGAGGAAGAGAGTATTCCCTGCGGAGGAAGAGTAAGTGAAGGAAATGAGAACATGTCCTCGCTGGAGAATGTCTGCTGGTCACTTGCGCAGTAAAACCCACAAATTAAACTAACCTTTACTAATGCCTTTCACTTCTGTATGCCAGCAGGATTAGCACATAGAAGACGTTTGGGTACAGATTTAACGAGAAATGACAATTTGGTGATGCTTGCCTTCTGTTCTTTCCCCCATTCAATCTTGTTTTGTTTTTTTAAACTACCCAGAAAGAGGTAGAAAAACCGCAAAAGCAAACACAGCAGCTTGCAAAACTCAACTGCAAACTTGTTTTCCCATTTCTAGGCAATTCTATTACCACCTGAAGTTATTTTGGGGCTGTATTCTGCGCAAGGATGGTGGATGGACAGCCTCTCTGCCAGGCCTTACTTTGAAGGCTGAGGGCAGAGCTGCCCCCACTGAATGACTGAGAGTAGCTGCTGAGATCTGGCCCGGCGACCCCTGCTCTTTCCTTGTGCAGAGTGCCCTGCCCGGAGCCGGGCCAAGCAGGAGAGGGAAGACAAGCCACTGCGCAGCTCCCAGAAGCCTGGCCTAGGATCAGGGTGTGGCTCAAGTAGAACACCTGCAAGGCCCTGAGTTTAAACCCAACCACAGCCTGGCTTTTTGCTTACTGGAATCCCTCCTCAGCGTCCCTCAAGGCTGGAGCTGAGGCTCCCGAAGGCAGGGGACTCACAGTCTTCAGGCAGCTAAGTATCATGAGGAAGAAGCTATCCAAATTGGGGGCGGGGGAGAGGGAGGGGACAGGGGAAGGTAAGGTCAAAACTGGAGAAGTGTTGGCAACTTGGGTGTAGATTGTTCATATTTTTTTGGCAGTACTGAGGCTTGAATTCATTGAGGTCTCATGCTTACAGGTTACGCTCTATCACTTGAGTCATGTCTACATCCCTGCTTCCTACTGCTTGTTTTAAAAACGGAGTCTCATTGATTCTTCTGCCCCAAATGGCTTCAAATCACTATCTTCTAGATCTCAACATCCTGAGTAGCTAGGATGATAGGCATGAGCCACTGGTGCCTAGCTTGGTGTATATTATTTAAAAATCAGAAGTGGGGCTGGGAAGGTGGCTCAGTGGTAGAGCGCTTGCCTTGCATGCCTGAGGCCCTGGGTTCCATTCCTCAGCACCACATAAGCAAAAAGCCGGAAGTGGTGCTGTGGCTCAAGTGGTAGAACACTAGCCTTGAGCTGAAGAGCTGAGGGACAGCGCCCAGGCCCAGAGTTCAGGCCCCACGACCGGACCCCCCCAAAAAAAATAATTAAAATTAAAAAATAAATAAAAATCAGAAGCAATGTTTTTGTAACTGAGAGGCAACATTCAGTCATGGTTAGCTTTCTTTTTGGTCAGTTGTGGGGCCTGAACTCTGGGCCTGGGCGCTGTCCCTCAGGTCTTTAGTTCAAGGCTAGTGCTCTACCACTTGAGCCACAGTGCCACTTCTGGCTTTGTCTGCTTTTGTGGTGCTGAGGAACTGAACCCAGGGCCTCATGCATGGAAAGCAAGCACTCTACCACTGAGCCACCTTCCTAGCCCCATGGTTAGCTTTTTGTAGGTAATCTCATTGGAGTCCCTATACCTAATTCAGTAGAGAGAGCCCTACTTTTCTGTAAGGAAATGTATGTGTATTGAGTAGAATAAGTAGTTCCCCTTCTCGGCAGGCAGTGTCTAAAACCATGGGAGTAACAAGCCCATCACAAAGTTTAGTTTACAAACTAGGCACACGCCGGGTACCAGTGGGTCTCACCTGTAGCTGTAGCTACTCAGGAGGCTGAGATGTGAGGATTAAGGATGAAAACCAGCCAGGACAGGAAACTCTATGAGATTCTTGTCTTAAATTAACCACCCAAATGCTGGAAGTAGAGCTGTGGCTCAAGTGTAGCACTCTAGCAAAAGCTCGGGGATAGCACTTAGGCCCCTGAATGCCAGCCTCAGGAGGGCCACACATATACAAGAATAAATAAATGAATAAATAAAGTTAGGCACAGTAAGAAACTATTAACAATAATAGCCAATAATGAAACAATAATTTCATTAATATACTGTATTAAAAATTACGTGTATGTGGGGGAAGATGGCTTTTAATAAATGTTTCAAAGCAAGCCAGAGCAGTTATACACACTATTGTCCTTTCCTCCTTTGTACCCTAAGTTGCAAATGACACTGACGAACATACCCTCTGGCCTTGAAACCACCGTAGCTGGTTCTTCTCCTCTTGGGCCTTTGTGAGGCTGATGTTTTCTTCCTCTTCCTTTCATTTCTGGTTTGATTTGCAAAGTAGTGAGATGATACAGGCGCCTCCTCCTCCTCCTCGTCCAGGCCCTCAGGGGTGCACCTTCCTGAGCCTCTGCCCCCTGGGCCTCCGCCGAGAGAGCTGTCCTCAGCTACAACAGAGAATGTAGATGGTCACAGGAGAAACAAGCTGGGCCAGGAGTCTGTGGACTCAGCGATCAGGAGGGACCCAACATTTCTTCTTTATTTCAAGAGCCCTAATGTGAGGCTGGGATTGTGGCTCAGTGGTAGAGTGCTTGCCTAGCATGCATGAAGCCCTGGGTTCGATTCCACAGCACTACATGAATAGAAAAAGCCAAAGTGGTGCTGTGGTTCAATTGCCTTGAGCAAAAGAAGCTCAGGTGATGGGTGACAGTGCTGTCAGACACCTTGTATTCATAGACTGTTTTGTAGAATGGGAACTTCTTTGTGCAACTACTTAAAGATAACAATAAGATAATAATATTTTTTTTCAAAAAGCTCAGGGATAATGCCCGAGTTCAAGCCCAGGACTGGCAAAAAAGAAAAAAAAGGTCCTCATGTGCCTAACGGCAATTTATTATTAATGAAAGAGAATCACAATTAATTATTTAAAAACATGTGACAGACTAATTCATGAGGAGAAAGGCATGGGACAGGGACTGCATAGCCTGTGGCCTCATGACCCTAAAATGCACCACAGTGATCTGACATGCACAAAACGCTAACTAATACCAGGTAACGCTAGCTGTCACTTTAACAACGAATAAGGGAAACATAGACTATGTTCTCTCGTCTTTTTTTGTTTTTGCTGGTCATGGGCCTGAACTCTGAGGCGCTGTGCCTCAGCTCTTCAGCTAGCACTCTAGCTACTTGAGCCACAGCGCCACTTCCAGCTTTTTCTGCTTATGTGGTGCTGAGGAATCGAACCCAGGGCTTCATGCATGCAAGGCAAGTGCTCTACCGCTGAGCCACCTTCCCAGCCCCTGGTTTCTTATCTTTTTTTTTTTTTTTTCTGGGTCCGGTCATGGGGCCTGAACTCTGGGTCTGGGCGCTGTCCCTCAGCTCTTCAGCTCAAGGCTAGTGCTCTACCACCTAAGCCACAGCGCCACTTCTGGCTTTTCTTTTTGCTTATGTGGTGCTGAGGAATTGAACCCAAGGCCTCAGGCATGCGAGGCAAGCACTCTACCACTGAGCCACCTTCCCAGCCCCTGGTCTCTCATCTTTGAACAATAGTTTCTTAGTAAAGGGGCACCAAAACAATTCCAAACATTTTCATCTTCATAAACAAAAGCTTCTTCTTTGCATAATTTCACAAATGGTGCAGGAAACGGGCCTTGTGCAAGGCTGTCCTGGCAATGTCTAGTTCCCTAGGTATTTGCATCCCAAGGCACAAAGCCTAAGGTTTGGTCCCCTTCTTGGCCCCTCTGCTTCGTTGGGTGGGTGGGGCCTCCCAGCCCGGTCCTATGAGAGGGTACGCAGCGTGGGGTACCGGCTCTGCCATCCTCACCATGCGGCTCTCTGCACCTGGAAAGCAGGTCTGAGGATGAGGCGGTATTGAGACAGGCAGAGCTCTTGGCACAGCATGTATGCAAGGCCCTCAATGCGTAAGAGTGGATGGCCACTGAGAGTGGACCAGCTGCTGGGCTGTTGCCCCAGGCAGCCCAGTCTCAGGTCAGCCAATGCCTCCGCCAAACTGTAAGATCTGCACAGGGACACCTCCCTATATACTGTCAACTTTCTGCCCAGTATCTGTTACCTAGGTAACTGGCAGACCTGGAAGCAGTCACCTTCCCCGCCTGCTAGGTCACATCCTGGGCCACCTCTGGTCACATGCCTCCCATCTGACCTCAGGAGGGTCCCAGACCCTGAGGTCACATCTGGATCCAGTGTGGCCACACCTTTCCCCCACCTGGCCACACCTCTTCCTGTCCCTGGCCTAGATAAGTCCTGTCCCAGGGGCAAGTCGCCCCTTCCTTTTTCAGCCCTGCCTCTCCACCATGCGTGGTCGGGGCAGCAGTTCGGCAAATAAACTTCTTTTCCTGCCTGAATAGTGCACAGTGTTCTCTTCATCAGATACCTAATGAAACCTACCTATTTAATATACCTTACACAAACCAGTTACTAACACAAAACAAACATAAATTTCCTACCAAGACTGTCTAATGTATTCAGAGCATGGCTTTTAATGGAATAATACCAAATAATGGAATTTATAAAAACTCTACTCTTTAGTACTTGGTTAATGGCTAAAAACACTGTGAAGAGTGTAAAGCACATGCTGCTGCCCCAGCCCTGACAGGAGCGTGAGCACTGACCCGGCTGGTCTGCTGGGTCTCCCCACCGGCAGTGATGGGAGGGAGGGGCTCACCTCTGCTCCTCTTCTGTCTCTGGCAACCTAATGCTTGGGTCTCGGTTTTCCCTTGGTCAGGGCCTCCAGCAGCCTCTGGAAGTGCCTGCTACCCATGCCCTCACTCGAACAGGTTCTGTCAGTGACTAACAAGAGCATTCCGTGACGAGTTCCTTTTCAACTCATCTAAACTCTCCTCTCAATGTCTACCTTAGATGTGCTTGCTAGATAACACATTTCTAAGTCAGGTAAGGGCAGAGGACCCGTGCAGGGGAAGACGGGGACAGACTGCAATGAGACCCAGGACTCTCGATTCTCCGGCCGTTAGTGTTACCACCACCAGCAACACCTGGGCCAAAAGTCCCCATTTGGTCACGTTCAGTGACTGGCGTCTCTAGGAGGTGCCTGCCATCTAGGCTACGGGGGCTGCTCTTGAGGACTTGGACATCAGCGGGACAAAGGGTAGAGAGAAATAACACCACCTGAAAACCACACCATGCTACCTTAGTGAGATCATTGCTTAACATTACAATGCTTTTAGAAAACATGTTCTGCTGGATACGGAACCTGGCAATGTCCACTCCGAGTATTTCTGCAATATTGGAATCATCTCTGCACCATATTTTTCCAGCTTGTCTTCAGTAACACCATCAATTTGAAGCAAAACCTCAGGATCAGAAGATAAAGATTCTGTGCAAGGACATAAAATTAAGAATTTAAATGACCACCTATAGAAAACCACTGAGTTCAGGCTCATGCAGTCACTCAGCTCACAGCTGTTAAGTGCCAACCAACTGGTCAGCGGTGGGCAGGCAAATGGCCAGTTTTCTAAAAGGCAAGTTTAGGCAGACTGGCTCCGAGGCCAGGTCTGCACCCAATTCCAGTAGCAAAGGAGCCTCTTCCAGGCCAAGGCCAGGAGATGGCCCCGGGCACATGAGCAGTTGGAGGGGACTTGGGGCTATGTGGGCCCATCGCTCCCTCCGCTGAGACTGGCTACAAGACTATTCTCTCTCCTCTGTTTGTTGACAAAACCCATGCTCTCTTCCCCTCTAACCTTCCCCCTTACTCCAGGGTGGCAGAGCTGCGAGTGTCTTCCCCCAATGCTCTCCATGTTGGGAGAAACAATAAGCAGGCGGGCAGGTACCTTAGTGGAGAAGAGACTTCCATCTTGTGGCTGGGCCAGCCTGACACGTAAAGGTTGCTTTGGTTGCAGTACAGAAAATAGATGGAAAGGGCTGGGAAGGTGGCTCAGTGGTAGAGCGCTTACCTTGCATGCCTGAGGCCCTGGGTTC